TTAGTATCAGTCCTTCCAATGAACATTCAGGCTTGATATCCTTTTGGATTGAGTGGTTTGATCTCCTTGCAGTCCGAGGGACTCTCAAGAGTCTTCTCCAGCATCACAGTTCAAAAGCATCAATTCTTTGGTGCTCAGCCTTCTTTATGGCCCAACTCTCACATCTGGCTGGATCCAAATATAAAAACAGCTAAACAATGACAGCAAAAGAATATAGAATGGAAGCAATAGGTTTGCTTTCTCACTAGAAATGATGGCAGTTAGAAGGTAGTGGGATGGCATAGTGAAGGTGCTCAAAGAAAAAATCTGTCAACTAAGAACTCCGTGTCAAGAAAAATTACCCTTCAAGAATAGGGTGAAAGAAATACATCCTCAGGTGAACAACAAAAAAATGAAAGCACATGTTGCTAAAATCCCCTCCCTAAAAAGGTATTGAAGAAGTCAGAAAGTCAATAGGATTGAAATGAAATTTTACAAGACAGTAGGTTGAATCCAAAGGAAGAAATGAAAATCACCAAAAATGTGAAATATGTGGGTAAATATGAGACTATAATAGGGTTTTCTTTTCTCTTTTTATATCTTAATTTTAAAAAATGACTGCTTAAAGCAATAATTATGATGTTATATTGTTGGGTATATAATATACATACAATGCATCACATATAAGGGTGTATCACATAGAATATATGATTACTTATGATATGAGGACATGTATCTCATATATGGTTACATATGATGTATTATATGTGACTATATGTGAGTATTACATGTGATTACTATATGATAACCACCATGCCACATGCATACTCAGTCATGTCTGACTGTGGGACTATAACCTGCCAGGTTCCTCTGTCCTTGGGATTTTCCTAGCAAGAATACTGGAGTGGGTTGCCATTTTCCCCTCCAGGGACTCTATGATACCTATGATGATATGTAGTATGCATAACAATGATACCACAAATGGGGAAAAAGTGGAGGTACATTGGAGCAGAGTTGCTTTCTTTTTCTTAAATCCAAAATTAAGTCAGGATCAATCTGTAGCCAACTTTGACAAAATAAATATTCACATTATAATCCTAAGAGCAATCTCTAATAAACAACCATAAAAATACAGCTAAAAAATCCCAGAGGAATTAAAATAGAACACTAAATCATGTTTAACACGAGAGACAGCAGTGAAAGTGGACCAGAGAAATGAAAAAAGACGCAAAATTAGGAAAAAGAAACATTGCTTATCAATGATTATATGAAATGTGAATTGACTAAACACTCATATCTGCAAACAGCTATGAACCTGGAGAGCAACAACTGTGCTGATGTCACAACTTGCTCAGCCTTCCTCCTGTTGCTGAGAATCAGGCTGTTCATAAATAACACTCCGTAAATGTTTTTATACATCATTTAAATTTTTGTTAGGTTTTGCTTGTGGTGAATTTCATAAAATGGAGCTCAACTGCATTGACACTTCATAACTTCTTTTGATAAACTGCTCTCCACAAATACGTCAGAGGGTCTGTTTCTAAACAGACCCATCGACAACGCTTAATGGTTGCTTAGGCAGGCGGGTAATGGTGAGCTGGCAAGCGAGCTCCAGAAAGACATCTGTTTCTCTTTACCGACTATGCCAGAGCCTGTGACTGTGTGGGTCTCAATAAACTGTGGGAAATTCTGAAAAAGATGGGAACACCAGGCCACCTGACCTGCCTCTTGAGAAACCTGTATGCAGGTCAGGAAGCAACAGTTAGAACTGGACGTGGAACAGCAGACTGGTTCCAAATAGGAAAAGGAATACATCAAGGCTGTATATTGTCACCCTGCTTATTTAACTTATATCCAGAGTACATCATGAGAAACACTGGGCTGGAAGAAGCACAAGCAGAATCAAGATTGCTGGGAGAAATATCAATAACCTCAGATATGCAGATGACACCACCCTTATGGCAGGAAGTAAAGAGGAACTAAAAAGCCTCTTGATAAAAGTGAAAGAAGGGAGTGAGAAAAGCTGGTTTAAAACTCAACATTCAAAAAACAAAGATCATGGCATCCTGTCCCATCACTTCATGGCAAATAGATGGGGAAACAATAGAAACAGTGACAGACTTTATTTTCTTGGGCTCCAAAATCACTGCAGATGGTGACTGCAGCCATGAAATTAAAAGATGCTTGCTTCTTGGAAGAAAAGCTATGACCAACCTAGACAGCATATTAAAAAGCAGAGACATTACTTTGCCAACAAAGGTCCGTCTAGTCAAATCAATGGTTTTTCCAGTAGTCATGTGTGGATGTGAGAGTTGGACTATAAAGAAAGCTGAGCGCCAAAGAATTGATGCTTTTGAACTGTGGTGTTGGAGAAGACTCTTGAGAGCCCCCTAGACAGCAAGGAGATCAAACCCATCTGTCCTAAAGGAAATTAGTCCTGAATATTCATTGGAAGGACTGATGCTGAAGCTGAAACTCCGATACTTTGGGCACCTGATGAGAAGAACTGACTCATTGGAAAAGATCCTGATGCTGGGAAAGATTGAAGGCGGGAGGAGAAGGGGACGACAGAGGATGAGATGGTTGGATGGAATCACCAACTCGATGGACATGAGTTTGAGCAAGCTCTGGGAGTTGGTGATGTACAGGGAGGCCTGGCATGCTGCAGTCCATGGGGTCACAGAGAGTTGGACAGGACTGAGAGGCTGAACTGAATGGTAACCTGAAGTAATTTAAATTGGCATTAGTTTCCTTGTTACTGAGGCAAGCATTTCTATCTTTGTTAATTTACTGCTTGCATTTTCTTATGTGTAAATTGGTGGGATTTATCATTTATCGAGTGGGATGTGGTTATTTATTTGTTATTTTTTCAATTTATTGTATTAGGAAGTGACCAGATTTTAATACTTTTTCATTCCTCCTCCCCTATTAGTCACAGCAGTTCCTTAAATTAGCTTAATGATAATAATTCTTTGAGAGAGGGGAACATTAAGAAAAGATTCTGAAGAAAAGTGGCATATAGAATGGGAGTTATCCCCATAGCCTTCAGAAGTTTATCTTAGTTCTTCTCATTCTGAGAAGAACTTTACAGATGAGGTACCCACAGATTCCTGTCTGCTCTAAAGGCTCTGGGGTGAAACAGAGCAAAGAGGTGCTGACAGAATATCGAGGCTTAGGTGGAAGGCTTAGCTGAGCTGGAAATAATTGATTAGCCAGGGAAGTTTTGGTGCCAAAACATTAAAAATAACACAATGATAATGCTTCCTAGCAGCAGATCTGCTCTTCCACATGAATCCAGAAATAGATGAAAACTCAGGTCAAATGAGGATCTCTGAGTTTGTTCAAGAAAAGTAGTGGAGAGAGAGATTTCTCTTATGCATAAGAGCTAAGTTTCCTTTTCTCCCTACAGATTTTAAGTATCCTCCTGCATTTACAGGCTTCTCAGGTGGCACAGTGGTAAAGAATCCACCTGCCAATGCAGGTGAATGCAGAAGACTCGGGTTCCATCCCTGGGTCGGGACGATCCCATGGAGGAGGGCATGGCAACGCACTCCAGTATTCTTAACTGGAGAATCCCCATGGACAGAGGAGTCTGGCGGGCTGTGGTCCATGGGGTCGCAAAGAGCTGGACACGACCGAGCAAATAAGCACAGCTTGGCTCAGCATAGCAGGAGCCGTAAGATTTCAGGTCTGACCCTCACCTGAGAACGAGCTTCCTCGCACTCACTGTCTCTCCACTATCCTCACTATAGATATTTCAGGGAGGAGACTGGCCAAAATGTAGATCTCAATGATGAAAATTGGATACCTCTCGGATGCCATTTTCCTTGAGTCCTCCTATGACAGCTCACTAAAATCACAGGGAAATTGACGTGGACAGTGACCGAACGCTACTCGGCGCATGGCGCTTGCTCATCAGTTCAAAGATAAAGGACCGCCATCTGTCCTTGAGTAGCTCGTTCTCAGATTTAATGGCTTTCAGTTAGAGAAACGCTGTGTATCTTTTGGTAGGGAGTTGAGGAGATGCAGTAGTCCCTTTCTCCCCTGCCAAAGGGTTGAATTGTCAATGCTTCGGATACAGATGTGAAGGCCAGACAGCTGGAAATGAAAGTGAGACAGCAATAGAACGCATGGCTAAGGTGTGCAACCAAGTCGGTTTGCCCGTGCGCGCCTCCGGCACACGTCCTTTTCAGCCTAGCCCTCTCGACCGCCCTCGCATGGGCGAACGCGGAGCTGCAGCCGGCTCACAACGCCAGGAGGCCCTAGGGCCAGGGAGCAGCGGGGAAGAACCCAGACCTTCGATGCTTACGGTAACCTCGGGCCAAACAAGGAACATTCCCATCCAGGTAACTCTATGGCCAACGACCAGCCAGAGACTCATCTCCCACTGTGAGAGAGTGAGAGAGCCGGGGAGAGCCGGCAGCATCCCGCCGGGGGGGTCCCCAGTGTGCTGACACAGGGCCGGGGCTGCTCGCTTGCTATCCGCATGGAAGGGCCTGCTCCCTTTCTCTTCTTTTCTGGTCTTTTACTTCTTGGTCCTTTTCCACCTTCTCTCCTTCTGTCGGCAGTAAGTACGCACCAGGGGCAATTCAGAAAAGTCGGTTCAGTCTAGTCTGGCGGGAGAGACTCGGCCATGTGGGGGAGGGCCGTCGTGCCTTTTCTCAGCATTAAGCGCAGAACCGCCTGCAATCTTGCTTTGTGGTTCTGCTGCTCCAATTAGAGGGGAATCCTGTGCTCGAGATCAGAGCTGAGTCTCAGGTGATGGGGAGGTTACGGGGAGCACTCCCACAAAGACGTGTCTGAGGATGCTCAGAGTGACTTTATAATGATGAATCAAGGATCCAGTCTAGTCTGGTTTTAGCACCAGAAGACCTGAGCCTCCCGTGAGGAATTGGTTTGTTTCTGTCTCATGGACCACGTGGATTCTCTCACTGTCTCATAAAGTGGGAGTCCCTGGACAGTGTTGGAGGGTAGGGAACGGACGGCTAACAGTTACTGTTCCTTGTTTGGGTAAAGCTTACCTTGGGAAGGGCTGTGAGCATGAGGACCCGCGTTTTTTGCACCCCTCTCGGCCGCAGACCTCTTGGCAGAGCGCTCCGGCTGCAGTTCCGAACTCTCCCACAGGAGGGCAGTCCTGAGCGCTGGGCTAAAGGGGAGGGTTGCGCCCAAGGAGAGCATCCGCAAGCCGATTTGATCGCACGACTCAGACATACGTTCTACGCTGTTGTCGTTTTCATTTCTGTCGGCCTGATGTCCACGTCTACATCTTAGGTAATTTTATACTTGGGTAGGAAAGAAGGAGACCATCGGGTCTCCTCTGCAGGCCTTTCCTCAACAAGCGCAGAGGCAGCCAGTCTGCAGGATTTTAAGACACGCACATTTGCATCCTCCTTGGCGTCCTCCTCTTCTCCGCTTCTATGACTTACCTTTTCCCTCCTCACGTGGCTCTTGTGTGTGTTACCTTGTACTTTCTGTGTCCTTGTAAGATGCCTTCTGTTCTTCCTGGAGCCAGGCAGGTTATAAATACATGAATAAATATAGCAAGCACCTGGCTTCCCGAGCCTCTGGCTTCATAGCACGCTTCACTGCTTCTTGGCCTTTTGGCTCAATCCAAGCACAAGCTAATGGGCTCCGTTCCTGGGCTGGGCTGGTGCCCCAGGCCTGCCACTCAGGACGTCTCTCAATTCTTGGCTTCTTCTTGCTTGAACACTTTGGTTGGGATTCTTCGTCCCTTACTGGCTGACCACAGTCTCCTGGGTCCTGCTTCTCTGCTTCTCCCTCCTCCTCACCCTGGGTCTGAACGTGGCTTTCTAAGGTCCCATAGCCTCTGAGTCCCTCTGGCTGTAATGAACATCTCCTCTCTAGATATAGTCTCTAGACTGACTCACGTGGTACTTCAGAGCTCCCGGGGCTTCCTTGATGGCTCGGATGGTAAAGAATCTGCCTGCAATGCAGGAGATCACAGTTTCAATCCCTGGGTTGGGAAGTTCTCCTAGAGAAGGGAATGGCTACCCACTCCAGTGTTCTTGCCTGGGAAATCCTATGGGCAGAGGGGCCTGGCGGGCTAAAGTCCATAGTGTGGCAGAGTTGAGCTACTAACATTCAGAGCCCTGGAGAGGCACTATGGTGTGGTATGGTGGGTTTGGAGTCATTTGGATTTGGGTTGGTCAGTTATCCATCTATCCACCCTTCCATCCAATACTGCAGCACACACATACTTTCTCCTCCTGCCTCACCCCCTGCCCCCATCAATGGATGCCACATGCCAGTTATGTATTGGAGTTGTGGTTGGTAATGAGCCAGGGATGCAATCTTTGCTTTATGAAAGTTGTGTTCAAGTCCTGTTAGTTTGAATTCAAGCTCTAACACTTGTTGACTGTGAGAAATTAGGTAATTATTTCATTCCTCTGAGCCATGGTCTCAGATTCTCAATCTGTAAGCTATGGGTAGTAACTCTTACAGTATCAGGTCACTGAAAAGATTAAATGACACAATAAATGTAAAGCAGGTGGCCCAGTAAGCATGCCACCACATAGCAGCTGTTACCACCAGATGTCTGTTCACACACAGAGGTGGGCCCTCTTATCCTTCTCCCTGGGGTACCTCTTCACTACCTGTTGCATCCATCAAACTACTTGCATTTGCTCTTATTTTCTAGAAATTTCCTGCAATTTTCTGGTGACTCCCCATTTGTTTTGTTCCCTGTTATGGATTAAAAAAATTTTTTTTATTTCAAAAACAGAACTAACGTTTATAGCAAGCAGTTGTAATATGACTTGCAAATCGGATGAACTGTACCAAACCCATGCAGATGAGACTAGCTAAGCTCAAACTGTCTGAACACCAATAACCTTTCACTGGAAACCCCTTCGGACTCTTGATTTCCTAAGAGCTACTGCCTAATTTCCAAATTCTAACCACCCCAGCCCCCTGCCCCGACTATACTTTCTAATTTCTACTTTGAGTCTTTCACTAACAAAACGGTAAGTAACTTTCTTAAAGCATTATTGACATATTTATATTTGGTGATGTGGGGGTCTCCTAGGAGGGCTGGCAGGCAAATACATGCAATCATGACCCAGAAATCCCCGCCAACATCTTTTAACTTTCCAAGTGGCCCACCAAACAAACGCAAAACCCAGATGCAGGCAGAGTGACTTCCCCGGCCTTCGAGCTCCCGGTTGAACAATTTCTCCCACGGGAACTGTTCCGGGGGGCCGGGGCTTGGAGCAGCAGGAGGAGGAGCGCCCACCTAGTTCCGCCCCTTTTCATTCCCCCCCGCCCCTCTCTCTTGTTGCCGCTCCCACCACGCCTTGTGCTGGAAGCTGATCAGAAGCACAGTCTCATGTGATGCTGAACATTTCAGAGAATGGCCTGGACTAAGGAGTTTTTCAGGGAGTGACTGTGGTTTTGGATTTAATGAGAAGCATGAAGGCGGATGAACTTGGAGGTCTCTCGTTTTTTACTTGGGTTCCACCTGTGGCCACAAACGAGCTTCTGCGGGTTTCAGAAATGGTGCTGGTTGTCCGATCTCTGCGGAGGCCTGTGAGCTATTGCTCTGGTGATTGTCAACGTGACCTGAATGTTGGATCCAACACGGAGCGGCTGGTGGGTGGTGGCGCACGCGGGCAGACCATCTCTGAACAACTTAAAGAGGATGAATTTCATCCACGCACCCATCGTTCTCCAACCGCGAAGATGATGCTAGGAAGAAAACGCCTGACCCTGCTCTGAGAACTGTGCTCTGGAGAGTAATTGACTCACTGACAAGCGAGACAAAGTTACCTTCTCCTGATAACCACTGCTGCAGGAGCCCAGTGGCTGTAAATTGAAAGCCAAGCCCTCAGACGGGAAACCAGAGCGGTTTGTATCTGACTGTACCTGTGGCCTTAAGCAGGGTGCATATTCAGCTGAGAGATGCTGGCAGGGCTGTAGCAGTTGTTAAATAGTCGGTGCTTCTGTGCTGGCTTGGAAAACAGCCACTGCCCCGAGTCTTGACTGCCGCCCGCCCTTCCTGTCCCCTCCCAGCAGCTAAGGTCGCCCTGGCGCCGTGGGCTCCGCAGCCCTGCCCAGGGTCTAGCGTGCTTCGCCAGGGCCCGTCCTACCTGTTACGGACCATTTGGAATAGCACGTCTGGTCTGCACACTTTTGATTCACTGGGAGAGAGCCAGGAGAATTGTGAACGTATCCAGTAGAGCCCTGGCTGGAGGTCAGACTTGAGGACACACCCCGCCTGCCCTTCGCTGGCTGACCCCCGAAGAATGGAACTTTGAAAAGGCGAGATGTTCCCAAAGGGAGGAAGTCAGCGAGGGCTCAGTGCCGCAGACGGGAGGGGTAGTGCTTTGCTTTAGGGGGAGCTGTTGAAAAGGGGGTCCCAGGTGGCCGTTAGGAAGGGATGGAGTGGCGACTGAGCCCCCTGTGGTAGCTGAAGACAAGACGGGCACAGAGAGAAGTAACTATTTTTCACAGAGTAGCCAGACCTACTCCGCGGGCAGATGAGGCTGGAGCCCACCTGTCTGATGGTGGCCACCCCATCATCTTTTCTCAGCACCACTGCAGCCTGTGGTCCCCTCACCACTCCTCAAAGGCGCCGGTCCGTCTTGCCTCAGGGTCTTTGATGCCTGGGGTCTCAGCTCCCTCCCTCTTCACTGCATTCCTTCTCTTAGCATTTGTCACTACCTGAAGCACTGTACGCTTTGCTCTTTTCTTTTGTTTACGGCTCTATCCCCTCACTGTAATGTCAGCTCCAGAGTGGCAGAGGCTTTCTGCTCTGATTTGGCCTACTGCATCCCTGGCACCTCGGAGAACAGACAGGAGGTGCTCAGCGAACGTTTGCTGATGAATCGAGGAAGGAAGAGCGGCTCTGTACCCACTGCGTGCTGGGCACCCTCTTCTGCCCAGTGTTGCTCCCCTGGTGCCCCTGCCCCCATCAGTCCCGTGGAACTGCCACGGGGCTCTCTTCTTCCTGTCTGTATTTGAGATGCTAATTAACATAAATTTAAATAGCCACTCGTGGCTGGAATCCATTGTACTGGACAGAGGAGCTCTAGCATAAGAGGCAAAACCAACTGCGTCTCGTGCTCCAGTGAGGTAGACAGGAGCGATGCTGCCAGCGGCCCTTGACGGTGCACACACTTCTGGTAGCTTCTGGGCTCCCGGCAGAAGTCAATTCTAATCCCTCTTTTTACTTTGTCTCGGCCTGAGTAGGGCCAGGCTTGGATGAGCTGATTGCATGCATGTATGCTCAGCTGTGTCTGACTCTGCGACCACGTGGACTATAGCCCGCCAGACTCCTCTGTCCATGGAAGTTTTTCAGGCAAGAATACTGGAGTGGGTTGCCATTTCCTCCTCCAGGGGATCTTCCCGGCCTGGGGATCGAACCTGTGTCTCTTGCATCTCCTGCATTGGCAAGCGGGTTCTTTACCACTGAGCCACTTCTTAGATGGAATGAGTTGAGTGGGGTATAAAACTTAAGGGGGCACCCCCAACTCATGAAAGTAGTGATGCAACGTTTTAAAGATAAAAATTAATGCAAAAATCCATGATGAAAAAGAATCAACATTTTAAATAAAGACAGGATCAGCACTGCTGATTTTTATTTTTGTCCCAAGCCGCATTTTGATTTGCCTTGCCCAGTCAGTGCTTCTGCAGTAGTTTATACCAACGGCCATAGTTTGTTAATCTCTTCCTGCCACCTTTCCTCTTTGATAACCATAGTTTGTTTCCTAGGTCTCTTTCTGTTTCTGTTTTATGAATAAGTTCATTTACATTTTTTTTAAGATTCCACATATAAGGGATAGCATGTAATATTTGTCTTTATCTGGCTTATTTCACTTAGTATGGTAACCTCTAGGTCCATTCACGTTGCTGCAATTTGCATTATTTCATTCTTTTTTATGGCCAAGTAATAGTCCACTGTATACAAGGACCACATCCTCTTAAGTCAATTGTCTATTGATGGGCACTCGGGTTGCTTCCATGTTTTGCCTATTGTAAATAGCGCTGCTAGGGACACTGGAGTGCATGTATCTTTTTTCTCCAGATATATCCCCAGATATATCCTCTTAGATATTTTTAAATATTGCTGTTGTTCAGTTGCTAAGTGGTCTCCATCTCCTTGTGACCTCAAGGACTGCAGCATGCCAGGCTTCCTTGTCCATCACCAACTCCCAGAACTTGCTCAAACTCATGTCTATCAAGTCGGTGATGCCATCCAACCATCTCATCCTCTATAGTCCCCTTCTCCTCCCACCCACAATCTTTACGAGCATCAGGGTCTTTCCCAATGAGTCGACTCTTTGCATCAGGTGGCCAAAGTATTGGAGCTTTAGGTTCAGCATTAGTCCTTCCAATGATATTCAGAACTGATTTCCTTTAAGACTGACTAGTTTGATTTTCTTGCTGTCTGAGGGACTCTCAAGAGTCTTCTCCAGCCCTACAGTTAGAAAGCATCAGTTGTTTGTTGCTCAGCCTTCTTTATGGCCCAACTCTGACATCTGTACATGATACTGGAAAAACCATAGCTTTATTATATGGACTTTTGTTGGCAAAGTGATGTCTCCTGCTTCCTATACAGGGCTTAATTTTAGATGATCTCTAGATTTTTCTTTTTATTACTTGAGATTATTTCTTTCCATCTGAACTGAAAATGATAGTATTACTAATCTTATGAAATCTATGACTTAAAAAAAATTGCCTGTGGGCCCCTTGATATTTTGACCTGAGAAAGAAGGGCACAAATCAAGACAAGCTGCCCCTCCAAATTCTATTTCTCTAATACTCTTTTGAGAAACTGCATTTGAGGCCACCCCCAAATGTTTCACTTCTTTACTTACCAGCCTTGTTTTGAACCCAATGAAATGAATCATTAGCTTTAGTCACCCTGGGAACCAAATTCCATTTGGATTCTTAGAATTAAAGATAAATTACCCAAGATGGTGTATAAAATTTATATTATCTATAAAGACTAGGTTTAAATGTAATTTTATTTATAAAATCAACTGCATTTTAAATACAATGGAAAATACAGAATTATGTCTTAAATTTCTCTCACTGTATAGCAGGAGTTAGCAAATGTTATCTGTAAGAGACCAATTAAAAAATATTTTTTGGTCTCGTGGACCCTGTAATCTTCATAACAGCTCTTCAACCCTGCTGTTACGGTACAAAGGCAGTCTTAGGCTATACATAAATGAATTGGTAGAATTGTGTTCCAATAAAACTTTATTTACAAAACAAGGAGTGGGCCAGACTTGACCTGTGTTTCATAGTTTTCCAATCCCTCTTTTATGATAATATTGTTCATTGGAACTCTCACTGGCCTTCAGTGAATAAGATAGGAGAACAGGTACAAATCTGTGAAGTTAGAGAATGGATCTGGAGGTATAGCAGGACTCAGAGAATAGGTGTCTGTGGGAGAAAGTCCACATTTTACCTCTGAGAGGTGGCTGTGAAGATGGAGCTGAAATCTAAGAGCAGGAAGGCACAAGGCTGGAGCCAGTTTCCCCATCTGATTTCCTTGTTGCTTTGAGAATCAGGCTGCTAATTATAGAGCTAGGGGACTATTTTCAACTGTACCTTTTCCCAGGAGTAATGGATGAAGCATAGCACAAAAAAGTGCATTTTGTCCAGTCAACATTTCCCAAGGGAAGCTCTTCGAAGAAATGGACCCTGGAGAATTGGAGTGTGACTGTTTATTCTCATTAGAGATTCCCATGGGCCTGGGAATAACCTGCTGTTTACAGTCACCATGAAGCTTTTCACTACCCAGAGGGATCCTCTGGGTTTTCTCCTCTCTTCTTTCAGCAGAAACAGAAAGAAAAGGTTCTCTTAGCCTCCAGCGTGAAGATGGTCTTCTGATCCGACACGGGAGAGAGGCTGGAACCAAGGGGAGGCCAGTAAACATCAGGGGCGTAAATTGTCTGACTTGCTCACTTTTACATCTTAAGGCCTTTGGGCAGCTCCAGGCAGATAAAGTGTGCTCAAGATCATTGGCAGAATGAATGAATGAGGTGGTACTCAAGAGATAAAGGAAAGTGTTAATAGGAACATCAATTTTCTTCTTATGTTCCATAGCACAGAGTAAGAAGGAAGGGCTGAAGATCAATGGTCATATAGGAATTTGTCCTCAAAGAATTTGGGGGTCTGGATCACATCCTTCTTTTAACACACAGCCTTCCCTCCCCATGTGATCTCTCAGGAGTTATGTTTGAAACCTTTTAGCACTGGTTACCTATCTTGTGCACTTGTGTACTAAGCAAGTGTTCAGTTTACCCTTAAAAAATTTTTTTTGATCCATGTTCTAGGGGTGCAAACCTGAGTAAAACAGTTTCCACTTCCAGGAACTCATGATGTGACTTAACCATGTTATTTCTGTTGACCTAAAACAAATTTCTGCAGCAAAAATAGGGTTATTCTGGGATCAGCAGAGAATTGTAATTAGGGGTCTGCAATCATGGTGAGTCATGTGCAAGTCTCCCTCAAGGCTAAGGAAAGAGAATCCTTTTACAGAGAGTTCTATAGAGGGGAAAAAGGAAGTTGGGAGGGCAGTTGTAAAATAAAGAGTCCATGGTTTTCCATTGGCTGGGTCCTTGACAGGAAAGAAGAGGAGTCTTCCCTTCTCTATTGGGCTCAGCTCTCATCATAGGATGTGAGAACGCCCCACTGTTTAACTGAGCTAAGTGCAACTCAGCTGCGTACTAATGTTTATATGTGCCTGTGTCTTTCTTCCTTGAGTAGATCATAAGCCCCTTGGTGACAGGAGCCCCATCTCTCCGTTGTTTTGAATCTGCCCAGTGAGTAAGTAATACGTGATGTATATATTAACAGTTACCAGGCCACTTTCTGGGTAGAGCTCCAAACCAAGTGCGACAGTTAGGAGCTGCCCCTCAAGCTGGAGAAAGCTGCAGTCAGACTGGCTGCCCGTGCACGTTCCAAGTGCAGGTTCTCTGCTCAGCTTCGAGCCATCCTCTAGCTCAAAGCAGCCTACGCTCTCCTCTCCTCTCTGTTCCTTCCCTTGAAAGGCAGGGATCCATGAACTCCGACACCTTGTCGTTTTTATAGCACTCTGAAATTCTTGCATGAAAGGGTTTAGGCTAAATATGGGCACATTTATACGGAAGTGCTATAAGCTTTTATCTCAGGGCCTCTGTGGTTTAGAGTTTCAACTGAAATATAAAATCAGCTCAGGGATGGGGCACTCTGAGCTTCCAGCACAGCTAAGACAAGGCTGACCTTTGGTGCCCTTCCTCAGGACCACGGACTGGAACCTTTCTTTCCAGATGGGTCTGTATCCTTAATTAGGTCCATAGCAATCTCCCTGTCCATTTCTTCCTTAGGTGAATCTTTCAGCAGTAAAAACAAAGCCGATCAGGCTTCTAAGAGAGGGCGCTGCGGACCACTGACCGGGGTCGGTCAGAAGAACCACCGCAGGCAAACACGCCTGTCTCCCGGCTCCCTCGCTGACCCGGATGTACCCCTTCCCGGGCAGCATCCACAAAGCATTTCCGGAGTGACTGTCCGGAGCTGTCACTGCTTCCGTGTGAAACAGAGTGTCTCAAGCTTTTATCCTGGCCCAGAACCTTCTGACCTCTTTCTCCAAACGCAAACTTGATCTCGGCCAACTGTTGCATGCAAATTACCACATGGATTTATTATAACTTTAGTCAAAATCCAAACAGGAATTAAATTTTTTGTGGTGGTGGGAGGAATGGATGTATTGATTTTAAATCTTTTATCATAGGATAAACATGGGGAAATGATCAAAGATATTTTAAAAATGAAGAATAATGAGATGAACTTGACGTAACACATACTATATAAATTTTATAGTGATTGAAATAAAAACAGATTGGTACCATTATATAGTTATGGACAAATAGGTCATTGAAATAAACCAGAGCATATATAAACAGATCCAGGTGTATTTAAGGAACATGATATATAATAAAGGAAGCATCTCATTTCAGTGGGAAAATAATGGACTAGTCTATAAGTGGTCATGGGACCAACTATGTATTTGAATAAAAGAATGTTATATTCACCCAGACATTTACTATTTAGAACTAAAGAGGCTTTTGATGAAAGTGAGAGAAGAGAGTGACAAAGTTGGCTTAAAACTCAACATTCAAAAAATTAAGATCATGGCACCTGTTTCCATCACTTCATGGAAAATAGACGGGGAAACAATGGAAACAGTGGCACACTTTATTTTCTTGGGTTCCAAACTCACTGCAGATGGTGACTGCAACCATGAATTTAAAAGACACTTGTTCCTTGGAAGAAAAGCTATGACCAACCTAGATAGCATATTAAAAAGCAGAGACATTACTTTGCTGACAAAGGTCCATCTAGTCAAAGCTATGGTTTTTCCAGTAGTCATGTATGGATGTGAGAGTTGGACTATAAAGAAAGCTGAGTGCCGAAGAATTGATGCTTTTGAACTGTGGTGTTGGAGAAGGCTCTTAAGAGTCCCTTGGACTACAAGGAGGTCAAACCAGTCAACCCTAAAGGAAGTCAACCCTTAATACTTGTTGGAAGGACTGATACTGAAGCTGAAGCTCCGATACTTTGGCCACCTGACACAAAGAGCCGACTCATTGGAAAAGACCCGACTCATTGGAAAAGACCCTGGTGCTGTGAAAGATTGAGGGCAGGAGGAGAAGGGGATGACAGAGGATGAGATGGTTGGATGGCATCATCAACTCAATGAATATGAGTTTGAGCAAACTCCAGGAGATAGCGAAGGACAGGGAAGCCTGGCAGGCTACAGTCCACAGGGTCATAAAGAGTCAGACATAACTTAGAGACTGAACAACAACAGCAACAGGTTTATAATTTTCAACAAATTTTGAAATTTGAATGGACATGAATTTGAGCAAGCTTTGGCAGTTGGTGATGGACATGGAAGCCTGGCGTGCTGTAGTCCATGGGGTCGCAAAGAGTCACACATGACTGAGTGACTGAACTGAACTGATTTACCATTTATGACATTCTTCATTCCTTTGGGTAGATCCAAATTTCCATCTAGTATCATTTTTCTTCATCTAGAGGAGCTTCCTTTAACATTTTTTTTGTTAAAGATATGTTGCTGGTGAGTTCTCTTACCATTTTTCTTGCCTGACAAAGACTGTTCCATCTTTGTTTTTGAAAAGAAGGACAGTAATTCCTGACGGATGGGAACCAGACTAAGTGAAACTTAACCACTGCTCCGGCTTACAGCCTTGAGTTTTCAGGCCACGGCACAAGAGGGTGACCCAGGTAGAAATGGAACTCTAGAGACGTGAGGAGGCCCCCCGGGTCTTCAGCACAGTACTGGTCAGCATCTGAGTAAACGATGCAGGACCTCCCAGAAGGATAAGTGAGAACGGCGGCCAGCACTCACGCAGCGCCTCTACCTACGGACCAGATTGGGAAACTTTGTAATTCAGAGGGGAGGGCACTCAGAAGGTCCTGCCTCAGCTGTGGGAATTTAACTCTTGATTAAATGCTTCTCTGGACCCACTTGAAGTGAAAATGTTAGTCCCTTAGTTGTGTCCGACACTTTGAGACCCCATAGTCTGTAGCCCACCAGGCTCCTCTGTCCATGGGATTCTCCAGGCAAGAATACTGGAGTGGGTTGCCATTTCCTTCTCCAGGGGATCTTCCAAACCCAGGGATTGAACCCAGGTCTCCTGCATTGCAGGCAGATTCTTTACCATCTGAGCCACCAGCCCCTGGACCCACTTAACAAGTCTTAAAAGCAAGAGCCAGAAGGATCCGTTTGCCATGTTTCACTTAGATATGAGATCCAAAAAAGTCAAACTCAAAAACAGAGGTGAAAAGTGGTTGAGGGGTCAGAATAGGGAGATATTGGTAAAAAGATACAAACTTCAGTTATATGGTTCATGAGTTCTGGGAATCTGATGTCTAGCATGGTGACTATAGTTGTTAATACCGTATTGTATAACTGAAATTTGCTAAAGGCATAGAACTTAAATATTCTTACCAAATAAGTGTGTGAGGTGATGGATGCATTAATTAATTTGATGAGAATCCTTTCAAAGGTATATATATATATTTATATATATAGCAAGGCATCACTATTTGTACAAACTTTTATTGATCTATTTTGCCTCAATAAAGCTAACAGGAAAAAGGACCATTTTTCCGGGGAACATAACTGCATTCCATAACAAAGTTGCTCAAAATATTTATAGGAATATCCAGCACCTAACAAGGTAAAGTGTATAGTCTTTGAAAAAGATTACTAGGCATGCAAAGATGCAGGAAAATACAACCAATAATGAAGAGAAAAAAACATCAGTCAAGAACAACTAACTGAGAATTGATACAGGTGTTAAAATTAGCACAGGACACTGAAATAATTATTACAATAATACAGATGTTCAAAACATTAAATGGGTCCTAGAAGATATAAAAGTGACCCAAGTTAAAGTTCTAGAGATTAAAAATACAATGTTTGATATGAAAGATATTCTGGATGGAATTAATGTTATATAAATATTGCAGAAGAAAAAATTAGTGAACTTGAAGACATAATAATAGCAACTACCCCCCACGAAACACTTAGAGAAAGGAGGATTTTAAAACACTAAAAGAATATTAGTAAGCCACGGGACAACATCAAATGGCCTAAAACATGTGTAATTAGAATCCTGAAGGAAGGGAACAGAAAAATAATTTCGAGAAGTTAGTAAAGATTGAAAATTTTCAGTTTGTTGAAAACTATAAACCTGTTGTTGTTTAATCTCTAAGTTATGTCTGACTCTTTATGATCCCATGAACTGTAGCCGCCAGGTCCCCTGTCCTTCAATATCTCTGGGAGTTTGCTCAAACTCAAGTTCACTGAGTCTATAAAGCCATCCAGTCATCTCGTCCTCTGTCACCCACTCCTCCTGTCCTCAATCTTTCACAGCATCAGGGTCTTTTCCAATGAGCTGACTCTTTGCGTCAGCTGGCCAAAGTATTGGAGCTTGAGTTTCAGCATCAGTCCTTCCAATGAATATTCAGGATTGTTTGACTGGCTTGACCTCCTTTGCAGTCCAAGGGACTCTTAAGAGTCTTCTCCAGCACCACAGTTCAAAAGCATCAATTCTTCTGCGCTCAGGTTTCTCTAGAGTCCAACTCTCACATTCGTACATGACTACTGGAAAAACCATAGCTTTGACTATACGGACCTTTGTTGGCAAAATTATGTCTCTGCTTTTTTAATATGCTATCTAGATTTTTTATAGCTTTCCTTGCAAGGAGCAAGTGTCTTTTAATTTCGTGGCTGCAGTAACCCATAGGTCCAAGAAACTCAGCAAGTTCTAAGCTCAAGAAGCACAAAAAAATCTAACCAAGGTGAATACTATTCTAACCACTTAACACCAGCAACAGAGGAGTTATCAGAAGCAGCCAGAAAAGAGACATGACACGTTCAAAGGAACAAAAAATTAAGGATGACAGTAATTTTTCTAACCAGAAATGAGCCAGTGAAGCAACATTATTAAACAAATCAAAGGAAAGAAAAAACTCTGTCAACCAGGAATTATATAATGATACAAATAATCAATAAACAAATGAAATGTATGCTTAATTTCAAGAATACTTGGGACAGCTTTTAAATAATAATTACATAACATTTTTGTCTTCTTCCACTCCTAAATTTGGAATCAGTTGAAAACCCAAATACAAGAGATAGACAGAGATGAATATTCAGCTTTATTGTTGATTAAGTTAATTAGAGAATGGCTTAGATCAATACCAAACTGGGTTAGCATCAATCCTTCACCTTTGAATGTGATGTTTTACTTATGCAGTGGTATTTTATCCTCATGATTGCCAAAGAGTTGGACCAGAGGACCAGACGTCACCCTCTCTGAGGTCAGGTAGATCTGTGACAAAGGGCCCAGATGGACTGAATTGAGCCAAACATGCTCAATTGCTTTTCCTGAACTCAACAACCAGGTAACTCACTCCTTCTGTGTAGAAGTGTGAGTGAGCAGTACAAATCTTCAAGTGTTTTGACTAGACTTCTCCTAATGGAAATGGAAGTAGTCAGGGAATAAATGTTCTCCTCAGTAACAATCAAGAAAAAGACCATTTTAAAAAAATAAAAAGTATAATTGGTATTAATTTGCAACCAAACTTTGGGAGTCTTCATTTGGGGCTGTCTAGAAGCAGAAGCAGAAGCAGAATAGGAGATAAGAGTTTGAGTGTAAGTGCTTTATATAGAGTTTTAGTTCATTTAGTCTGCTAAGGTGAAACATCATGATTGGGTGACAGTAATTTATACCCCACAGGCTGGGAAGTTCAAGGTCAAGGTGCCAGCCTGTTTTCTGGGTCATACACAGCCATCCTTTTGCTGTATTTTCAGGTGGCAGAAGGGTTGAGGGAGCTCTGTTTTTTGTTTTTCCAATAAGGGCATTAATTGCATTCATAATGTAAACACCTCCCAAGACTCCCACCTTCAAATACCATTGCATTGGGAATTGGGTTTTAACGTGGATTTGGGGGAAGGCTGGATACAAACTTTAGGATAAAATACATTGACTTTCGCATATATAGCATTTCATTTAGGAATTGACCTCAGGAAATATTAGTTAGTCACTGAGGAAATGAGACAGAAAAAGGAAGGAGG